TCATAACAATCCATCCACAAACAAACACGTGTACGAAAGCCAAACTCAAAAGTTCAAAACATCACAAAAGCCAACTCGAATGTCAATACGAACACCGACGACGGGCGAGCAAAAACACCGACACTCCACTTGACTTCTAGGTTCACTTATGACTCTCCCACAGACACACACATCACTGCTCCGATAGTCACCCCAAACAAACAAGCTTACCGGGAATAGACAACGTAAAAGACCTTCAAACGTCAACCAGTGACCAGCTACTCGACAAAAAATACACAATAGATGAGACCAGTTAAAGTCATAAATCCAGCTCCATAGCTTTAATCCAAGCCAACCATCAAGGTACCCCCAGCTCATCCAAACGGCTCCTTCCTTTACTCCAAGTCACGACCCACACCCAACGCGAACGTCACATCCCCGTTTGAACAAACCTTTCCCCTTGCACTGCAGCCATTGTTGTCGATACACTCGACCACGCCGACTTCCGGATGCATCTTCGATTGAGCATTGACCCACAAGAATACCACCACGAGCCATGAAAGAAAACACTAGCACCACGTACAGTAGCGGAAATGGTCCTTGAACATAGACACCTCGGCAGTACGGCGCACTGCGAACACCAGCATGCGTGTGTCATTGCCCAGACGCATTGTGTACCTACGTACCCAGAGCTATCCACTTACAAACATCGGCGGATCATTATCTACTTATTCAAGTTGCACCCACCAAAACCACAATAAAGGAGTCAGACAGTCATATTACAGTACCAACCAGTCTCCAAAGCTGCATGCACCATCACCACAAGCGCCGACTCTGTATCCACAATCGAAAAATTGCAATACCATCATGTGCCAGATTATCTTGTACCCATATCGTATTTCTTCATCTACAGAGCCACAAATCTTCACGAAAAGGCAAGCACCAGCCAAAAGGTCCAGGCGATACTTGCACGCCATAATTCTCCCAAGTCAGGTTGTAGCAATGTTAAAGCAATGGCTTGCTTGGAGTAAGCTGCACTAGACCTCGAAATCTCTAGCTGGTCAAGCACTCCAATGGAATGAATGTATCTGCAACTTCAGGAGTGTCCAGGTTGGCCAAGGCCACACTGAAAGCAGACATGCCTGGCGGAAGGCAAAAGGATACCAGGTTCTCCCATGCATACCACGACTTGTTGTCGCCAAAATATTCAGTAGGCTTTGAAGATTACTTACCTGGTTTGCCAAAGTCCAAATATCTCGCGATGAAGCCTGCACGCCACAAAGACCAAAGATCGGACTTGATAAAATTCAGAAGAAGCATCACATACCAGAGGCTTGCTAGAGTACGCAAACGTCACCAAATCCACTTGAGCTCTCTGAACACACAAAGGCAGGCACATCATGACATCCACATAGTAAGCACAAAGAGCAGCTCTCACCGGGTTCGCGTGTACATCCATTTCGACGCAGCCATAGTATGTAATATGGTCCATACGCTCTCAACAAAACGTCGACATCTAAGACACGAGACACACACAGCGCTTTCGCCCACTTTTCCCTTTTATACAGGCTCACAGCAACTCCTTCGTACGTGTACATAATGGCCTCCAACCTTCCACAGATGGCAAGTTCAGCGAGGTGTCGACGTTCAGCAAACAGAGGCTTGCGGCGTTTATACGCTCAGCCACTCGACGAGTAAACGGATTCTTTCTCAATTTCTATCTGGGACTTGGACACCCACTCCATACATCACATCACTATAGAAAAGCATTGCCATTGCAGTGAAAGTCGCATCACAACCGCCGCCACAAAACCTTACGTATAAACCACACAATCATGGCCGCTACCATCGTGTTTCTTCTAAAACATTTTTGCCCTGAACGGTTCCTCGATGCCACTGAGCTACCACTTCCAAAATAAACAAACGCGAGCAACATGTACTGACCGAAATGGAGCTTGGATTTAAGCACCCGACACCTCAATTTTTGACTTGATTCTCGCCTTCTATGCGCACTGGGGTCGACTTTACGTAAGCATTTTCTTCGGCTTCGACTTGAAAGTCTGGCTGCTGACTCGACGTTTAGAGCACCTCCACATATCCACGCACACTAAATCAAAGGCGCCAAATACTAGCACAAGCCACCGACATAATGGCAGCTGCAAAACCAAGAAAATTATCACAATCGCAAATAAAAAGAAAAAACGTTTCGAGGTCATCCACACGCGAAGAAAAACACATACTTAAGTATGAAAATCAAATGTCATGAATCCAGATCCATAAGTTACACAGCGCCACCATGCACACCGATACACACACGCAAAGTACTTCCACACACTGAACCAACGATAACGAGATAAACCGCCAAAGGAATCGTCAAAAACAGCAAATCCTGCCTCAACCGTTTTTCTACAAAGCCCAGTATCTCGAGTGTATACTGGTAGCAAACGCTTGCCCGGCAGATGATCCTCTTGCCACTCGGTTTAGCGCGTGGAATTAACAAACCACACCTGCATACCAAGAATCTGCAGGGTAAGGCCACAACCCAAAATATATAGAGACTTGCCCGATGGAGTTCGAGTTGCAATCAGTGGGAGATCTCTCCTGCGCACCACTTACAATGAAGTATTTGCGTTGCATCCTGCACTCCACGATCGTATTGAAGCTTACATGTAAACGCCAACGACTTATCTGCCACGAATGTTGTAGCAACCTAAGATGTGACTTCTGCACTCCACGAAATGTTTCACCCACCCCAAGAGATAATAACAAAGGAAGACTTGCCAGGTTCGACGTCGTCGACGAAGCAATGCAGTCTGCATACCGTAAAAACCAAGGGTTGACTCGATATGATTCAGAAGAAGCATCACACACCAGAGGCTTGCTAGAGCACGCAAACGTCACCGAAAGCACTTGATGTCTCTACACCAGCATCCACAAAGTGAGCACAAAGAGAGCAGCTCCTACCGTGTCCTCGTCTACCAATTCCCACATTCATCTTCAGCCGTCGCCCCGCCTCCGTCTTCAGTCATCGCAGACTACAACAGCAAAAACATAGAAGACGCAGCACACCCAACGCATAATCCACCTCGCCCGGCTTCTCCCACCTTTGAGCTCTTCCATACTAAAACCTTCGCGTCTTCTCCAGAGACGGCTACAGCAGCGACGCAGTGTTAGGCGGTTGGTAGCACCAATGATCAGCCATAGAAGCTCACCGCACTTGCAGCACGCAGCTTGTCCACGCGAACACGTGAATGGCTCCTTCCACTGCATAAATCCAGGATTCGACTTCTCACACCACCGCCGATACGAATGTCAGACCACAGGCTGACACTGTACCTCCACCACGGTCTCAAAATAATGTCCACTATCGTAAACCACTCCACCGTCTTATAAGTGAGAAATATCGTTTCGCAAACAGCGGAAGCGCTTCACTACATGTAGTCATCGGGGACGAGCAATCATCTCCATATAGAGCAACATCATAGCAATCCAGCCACAAAAACCACTTTTACGCAAGCCACATACTTACCCAAACGAAAAGAAGATACAACATATTACCATCAAACGTCAGCCAGTGACCAGCTACACGATAAGAAATTCACGACCGATGAGACTGTAAAAATCACGAATCCAGCTTCATAAGTTATCTCCAAGCCAACCATCACATTATCCAAGTTTATCCACATCGCCACGTAAATGTCTCCTTCCACTGGAGTATTTCACTGCATGCTGCCACATTCCATGAGATAAAACACAAGTATCACGTACAGTCGAAAATGGTGCTTGGCGGTAGACACCTCGGCAACTCAACACTTCGACTAGTACGGAGCACTGTGAACACTAACATCAGCATGTGTATGTATACAAGTACGATTGCCAGCACGCATAGTGTACCACCAAGCCACAAGTCTTACTACAGTTCTTCACTACAGTGCGAGTTCAAAGCCATCCTCACACAAAATTAAACACCAAGTGAGCTTACTCATCATTACCTCAATTTAGAAAAAATGAAATCATATTTCAGTACCAACCAGTCCTCAGGCTACATGCATCATCACCACAAGCGCCACATAACCGACCCAGTATCCACAATTGAAAAATTAAAATACCACCGCGTGCCCAAATTATCATGTACCCACATCGCGTAACTACAACCTATAGAGCCACAAATCTGCACACAAACCCAAGCACCAGCCAAAAGTTCCGGGCGATACCTGCACGCCACAAATCCTCCCAAGTCAAGTTGCAACAATGTTTAAAGCAAAGGCTTGCCTAGAGTAAGCCGAACTTGATCTGGAACGGGCTTGTTGGTTAAGGCCACGCAATGCGATAAATGTACCTGCAGCTCCAAGAGTTTCCAAGTTGGCCAAGTTCATTATGACAACAGACTTGCCTGGATAGGGTCGAGAGGTGTCAGGTTCTTCCCTGCATACCACGGCTTGTTGTCTCCAATATAATCAGCAGGCTTAATAGATTATCTACCTGATTTGCCAAAGTCGAAGTAGCTTGCGAGGAAGTCTGCACTCCCACGATGTGCCGTGTTGGCCCCATATAATGCTTTAAAAACCAGGGTACTTATCTCTTACGTTGTCAGCAACGATATGCCTGCCCCTCACGACTCACCCCAAGAAAAAGGGAAAGAGCTACACTTGCCAGGTTCGACGTTGTGCCTCCGGAAGCAATGCAGCCTGCACGCCACAAAGACCAAGGGCGAGCTCAATTTAATTAAAAAAAAGCATCACATACCACAAACTTGCTAGAGCTCGCAAACGTCACCAAAAACACTTGATTTCTCTACACCAGCACGCGTCACACATGCACACATATCGCCACATCCCGACATCCACAGAGTGAACACAAAGAGAGAAGCTCCCACCGTGTCCGCGTCTACCAATCCTCACATTGCACTTCGACGTAGCGACACCATTGACCAACTACAGAGAGGACCAACAATGACGCAAGTTGTGCTTCTGACTCGGACGTTTATACATCTATGGTGCGACACAGATCCGATCGCGCTTATGATTGGTTAAAAAACGTTTAGGGATATCTGATTGGCGGAATGGATCGTTCTGACTCGAGTTTGAGACTGACTCGAAAAAACACCGTCCAAATTGATATGGATACAGCTAATCAGCTTGAAGCTGTGTGTAGCCATTAATGATGTCGCTTCAAGATCCGGAAGGTGCGTCCCGGTATCTGTCTACTTCGAGTCAAAATGAGCGCGTGTGGCTCGCTTCTGACGGCTGTCACTGCATTGCAACGTGCATGACGTGCTGCTGACCAGCTTCTTCGCCACTTGAGCGAGTTCAATCGCTACAGAAACTTTGTCTAAAGGCCATCGGACGGAAACTACATCACTTTTACAAGTATCAACACACTTTTAATGGCCACGCACCTGCATCTTTTAAATTAAATAGTGGTGTCAATATCACTTTGACAGCCTGCGACTGCAGCCGGAACTGATGCAGACGCTCTCACTGCTGGAGACGCAGCTCATTCACGCGTACGACCTCTCCAGACTGGACGTGTTCGAGGTCCAGGCCTATCTACAGACGATCGACAGGTGGTGCGCCAAAGTGGAGCGCAGCAAACGACGACAGTTAGTGATGTAGCCATTTGTAGCTTCATTTTGTGTTTGATACTGATGTTGCGGTGGCCTTAAAGGTTCGTAACGGCCTCGAAACGAGTTGACAGGACAATGAAAAGATTTCTTCACTATGTGCTGCTACCGGTCAATGAGAATCAACCTCATGAACCATATTGCGAGCTTGCAGCTGTAAACGTCCAATACTGATAGCAATACGAGCCCAAGAGGTGATGATCTGACGGAACTACGTTGTAGGCAATTGGCTTCGTCACTCCGCCGACGTTGCAACTGCGGCCTTCGATCCCGTCCAAAAGACGTCGGAAGAAATGGGTTCATGTCCCAATCGAGGGCCAAGACGCCGCTGACGTTCAAGAAGAGGGTGCTTCCCCTCCAAAATTTCGTATTCAGAGCGAGATTGTTTGCTTCCGTCTGCCTATCGCCAGTGTCGGATGCGGCATCATTGCGGTAATGCTCGTCTCCATTACTCTCGACATTATTGTTTCAATTGAAAGAGTATACATGTGTATAATACAGGACAAGCTTCAGCACTCTAGCTCCATCGTCAAGCTGCGTTTGAATCATTGTCAAATAACGGACGCCGGGGCGATTCTTCTCTCGAGTATAATACGCGTAAGTCACGGGTATACTTTGATGTTATGAGTACATTTTTTCTGAGCTTGTTGCTGTGTATAGCTGACAACCACGCTTCAAGTGCTGGATCTCAGTAATGACGAGGCAGGTTTTGGAGATGAAGCGATGGACAACGAGATCGGTACCAAGGGCGTACAAGCCATTGCGCTTGCCTTAGTGGAGAACCGAAGTGTCAAACAAGTACTGCGGCAGCTAAACTGATTATTAGTATGGATTACTGACTCGTAACAATATTGCATAGGTGGATTTGAGTAGGAACCCTGTCGGGTCTAGAGGTGCAATCGCCTTAGCTTCAATGCTGCAAACCAATGTGACTCTAGAGAGGATATGCCTCGATCGGTAAGGCTTAGTTGTGTTGTTTATTTCAACTCGAGCTGACAAGTGCGTATCAACTTGTGCCACAGAACTCTTGTGCAGGACGGTGCTCAGTCTCTTATTGACGCTTTCCAAGCATCCAAGTCGTAAGTACCACTCGTTCTGGTCTGCGCATTATACTAATTTCGTTTACTTTGACCGTGTAGGCTCAACATATTGAGTATGTTGTGGTGTAGTCTGCGCCCAGCGGTTGGGGCCAAGTTAGCTTCCGTCCAAGCCGCTAAGAACGTGCAATGAAGTAGTGAGTACGAGAAAGAAACCAATTCAAGACATGATCCTCGGAAACTTTTATAAACATTTGACACACTTAACGGACTTTTACACTAAAAGTAAACGCAAGATGCGAACAGCTACAGTAAGTGCACCACCTCCACAGGCTTGAGCAAGCCGTCTTAAAAGGAAGTAGCTCGTTGGTGGTGGGTGCTGGCCATGTACGCGTCGGCCTGGCGAATTTTGGCTTCTTGACTCGACACCAAAGCACGAAGGCGTTTGTTTTCCTCCTCGGACTTTGCCAGTTCGTAATTGGCGCGTGCAGCGTATTCGCGAGTCTTAGGAGACACAACACGATGCTTGCGCAGCTCAATAAGACGCTTCTCGAGCACCATGGACTCTTGGCGGAGAAATGTCACCTCTCTCTGTAATATCACACAAAGTACAAAGTTAGGAACGGGATCGATGAAAAATATTTTTAAATGTAACAAACGTACCCTTCGAGCAGCGTACGTGCACTTCTTGGTGCGCTTGCCAATCTTCTTGATTGGTTCCGAGTAGCTTCGTACCATCGTTGGAATCTTTAGAGCTTCTGGTGCTAGCAAGTTCATGAGATCCTGCACCTCACGCTTCGAGAAGCCAGGGTTAAAAGCGTCCACTGCCGTCGGTGTAGACGTCGGGTTCAATGGGGTGAATTCGTCCACGAACTTTTCATTGCAGCCCTCGAGTTGTGTCATTGAAGTGTCAATGTCATCGGCTGCGATCAAGCTCAAGATCTCCGGGTCAATCGGTTCGAGATCGTCGGCAGAGCGAGCAGCGAATACTGGTAAAGGTTCCAGTGACATGGTGGTAGTGTAGGTAATTGAATCAACGTGCAAGGGCACGAGGAATTTGAATAATGTGAAAGGAGGTAAGGCGTTTCGATGGAGTACCAGCCGTCCAAAACATTCACCGTTTATGCGTATGCGGCCTCGACTTGACTGACGTACTCGACACCTATCTCTAACATCCTTCCCAGCCGAGACCATAGCCATAAGCTTGCCCGTAAGCCGTCCAATATTTTTTACATTGTTGCCACACCGCCATCAGGCCGCACCGAATATTTGTCGGTTCACTTTGTTGCTATGCTTGACTCGCATGTACACTTGAAGAAGTTCGTGGACGCTAAATGGAATAGAGGCTGGCCAGCGACTTCGGTGCACGTTCGTTGACTTAACCGACACCATAGGGGCCCTTCCAGCTGCTCGACAGCGGAAAATAAGACGCTCCAGCTCTCTCCGACACTGAAGCAAAAGACTCTGGTGATCGAACATGTTGATGAACGGCATCCTGGGCAAGGGGTACTTGATTTTCTTACCGGCGTCGAGTCGGTTCGAACACCTGAAGATGCCAAACTGGAGCTAAGTCAACCCAGGTGGTTTGCTACGAGGATCGTGTGTTGATACAGGACGCCATAAGCAATCATGAAGAGCATCCAGCAGTCACAACGACGTCATATTGCACGTCGCCGCAATCGGACGACTTGAAAAAAGTCTCAATGTGGCTGTTGACATTCTGCGCGAAAACGGTGGGTGCTACAGTTTCCCACTGTCTGACCAGCTACTACGTCCAAGACCAAAACATGATGGCGACGCTCCTTTGCCAAGGTGCAGTTTGAAAAATCCACGGTGCCCTGAATTTAGCATGGCAACGAGTTTCTTGGTGCAGCTACACCACACAAATCTCGAAAGTTATTGACAATCATCAGAACCTGAGCGCGCCTCTGCGTTACGCTCCATGGGGCGTCATAGAGGCATCCATGTACTCGGATAAAGCTTTATAGAGCGGATGGGAGCATCACAACAAGAATATCACCATCATGTGCTTCACTAACTAAATCTTAAATTCTAAAACCTTTTGCATGTTATCATAAAGCTTTTCAAGATCTGGATAGCTAAAGAAAAAACTTGAGGTTGCCGAAAAAGGGATCTGTACTTAAATGATAGCTTCTCTCACCTAGATAAAGTAAGCATTCCTTCAGTAAGCAACTTGCTAAATTAGCGCCAGTGTCTGGACAGGGCGAATTCCCCATTCCAGCGATGCAGGACGAGACCGCAGATTCTCATGCTACGCCCCCCAACAGCAATGAGAGCCACCAAACTGTATTGGTGACGGTTCCCCCCTTGGAGAAGACGGTGTTTGTCACGTGGCAAGAGTTCCATGAGTATTTGAACGAATATCAGCAACGTACCTTCCAGATTTACTCAGTCCGCACTGGGACGCCAGTTTCCACGAGAAACAAGCGGATTAAGGAAAGATTCGAGAAACGAGGACTAGCAGTACCTCCAGGGGAACTGCTACCTGAGGAAATGGGTACATACAGCAAAGCTGTGGTATGTACTCATGCTGGGAGACCCAGGTCGAGAGCAACCGGCGCGAGGGCGAGACAACCATCCCGAGCTATTAATTGTCCTGCACAGGTAAACATTTTAGTGGTTAATTATTTTTTAAGTTTATTGTATCTCATTAATTTTTTTCTTTATTTTTTTAAAGATTACATTGGTATTACGACGAGATTATACCAGTGGAGAATGTTTGGTATATGTGAGTTCCCACACAACCAGACACAACCACGCGCTGTCGGATGGACAGTATCGCCGACATCCGATGATCCGTCGAATTACGGACCCGGGTGTGCTTCGGACCGTTCATACTTTGCAAAAAGCGAATGTGGAGCCATCAAAAATCTTGAAATATGTGTGCGAGCACACAGACAAGGAAGTGAGGATGAAAGATGTCCACAATATGCTGGCTTCGCTTCGAAAGAGTCCTCCACAGCCCCCACCCAGTAGTACTATACCCCCTGCAGAGACTCCAGTCGCGGTAGCTTCTCAACCACTGACACAGACTTCTACAGCATCAGAACGACCAGTTTTTTCTATCAGAAGTGCATCTCGTCCTGCTCAAGCGAGGGAAGCTCCAACGCAGTATGGCAAGTTTCTAGCTGCTTTTAATGTCGGCAAGGAGATCGCTGAGCTTATGGCAGAGATGGATCCAGATCGCTTCGCGCAATGCTTTGCGGAACTTCGTATGTTCCTGAGGATTGTCGAAAGCGGACGAGTGCCTGTTGTCACGACACGAGAAGCCTTCGGACAAGCGCAGAACAACGTTATGACTGGTATCCCGAATACTCCATTTCCACAACAGCAATCTTTCCAGCTAGCTGCCTCGCATACTGGATATCCGAGTACATCCGGTGCTGATAATGTGGAAGCCAACAGCCTCATTAGCCCTTCACAACCGTATTCATCAGGTCAGTAAACCCTCATTTAATCACCAACTTCAGGAGTTTTTTATTTAAAATGTATCCATTCTCTTCTCTAGTGTAGCCATTTTAGTTGACGTACCAGAGATCTCCCACGCTGAAGCCATCAGGTAAACTCTCGATGGCAAGTCCGAGTTCTTTCGAGAAAGTTGGTGGGCGGTCGTGGTTCTTGTTGACTGCAGCGTAATAGGCTGCGAACGCGTCCATGGAGCTGGCATAGTCTTCTTCGATCTCGACGTCGTCCATCTTACGAGGTTGTCGGAGTTGTTCCAATGGAACTGGCTTCTCCTCGACCTCAAACTCCACGCCGTAGATGGGATTCGTCGAGAAAACACTGTGCAAGCTTTGCATTTCTTTGAAAAGTTCGTGAAGACGATCTTCTGGATCCACACGGAAGCCCAAAATGTAGCCACCACTAACGGCAGACGTCTCAATGACCAGCGCTGGACCGAACTTGGAGCCTCGGATACGAGCCGAGTTGATCTGCATGTAAGGAATGCTAACGTTGAAGTTTTCAGCCAAGTTAGCGTGCCATACGATGCGGACGTTGGTTACGAAAAATGTACCCAAGTTCCCTTGATCTGATGACAAGTTCCACACGCCATTCAAACGTGTATACACTTGTTCGTGAGGAAGCAGCGTCAACTCCTTCTCCTTAATGATCGCTCCTCGAAGTTTCAGCTCTCGATACAGCTTGGTAGTCTCGTAAGACCGGAATACAGCTTGGATTGTAGTGAAGAGTCTGGGGCTGGCCTTCACGAGACTCGTAAAGATGAACTCGAAGCGACTGTTAGCGTACTTGGTCATGACATACAGCGCCTGTGTGCTACCCCGCAGCTTGGACGTGGCTGTGCGGATCTTAAGACTCTGAATGCAGCTGTAGCCGATGCTCAGATTCGTTCGCACAGACTTGTGTGAGGCCCACAACAGCCTTAAATTCGTGATCTCGAGAGCCCCACGGTCGCCATTATTGCCCTTTGTGTCCTCAACCGAGTTGATAGCATCCACTATCGTTTCGCCCTTACGCAGATGCATAGCTGCCGCTGAGATGTCGAAGCGGATCTCTCGATCCTGCCATGTCACCGACTCCGGCGCTGCTCTGATCTCTGCAGCCATGTTCCACAGTGGTCGAGATCTGAAAATGGCTTAACCGCCGCGACTCTAAACATGGCTACACAGTAATGCATCTCAATTTTTCCCTTACTCGGTCGCTAACTGTGCTGTAACCTCCTCCTTTTAAAGGGTAAAAACTCTTTACGCTAGCAAACGCTCCATCGTCTGCTGTAACAGCGCACTAAAGACCTTCTGCTCCAGCTTCAGACACACCTTAGTAGTACCGGAGTTGTCGAATGTCAGCTCAAACAGCGCCACGACATTAGTCATGGTCTTGACAGAGAAGTACGCCACTTCCTTGCCGTCAATCGGCCGCTTCGCAACGTAGAAGACGTTACTGCGTCCCAATCTCTCCGATACAGCGTCGACGCCACGTCCACCCGTCGCAAGCGTGAAGTAGTGCTCGTTGGCCTCGGCAATACTCTGCCACATACTGATAAACTCGGTTGAAGCCATACCGCCAGCCTCTGTGAAGATGGCTGCCAGCTCCAACTCTGACTGGAAGTACACGACTTCTCCACTCGAATTGTTCTTGATAGCCACCTGCATGTTGAGATTCGGAGCCACTGCAGCGTTGACAAACTGCGGACTCACGCTCATGGGTACAATCTGGTTGACCTTTTGTCCTTGCGTTAATGGCTGCGGGAACGTCACAGTCGCTTGCATGGGCACCACACCGAACGTGCTCTTGTTGAACTGAATACTCACCCCAGCAATCGGCGCAGATGCTTGGTTCTCAAAGTCCACGTCCAGAACAAAGTTGCCGTCGCGTCGAGTAAACGCGCCCGTCATCTGCAGCCCCTTACCTTGCTGAGCACTCATCAGCAATTTCTTCGGAACAGAGGACGATCCAGTCGATACGGGAGCAGGAGGCGGCGTCGGAGCACCGAAAATATCCACCAAGCTCGCACTGGCGGGCGCTGGCGCGGTGGGAGCCGGTCCCGACCCTCCCATGGACAGTCCTCCCATGTCTAGGAGATCAATTGCACCTTCAGACTGCAGACCACTGGACCCCTCTTCCGGCTGGTCGGATGAGCCTTCGTCGTCGTCTTCGTTGCTGTGGTCATCGTCCTGGCGATGTTCACGTAGCTCCGAGACGGTAGAACGCACTACGAATGCACTGGGGACCTTGTGGTACACACTGGCAAGCGTCGATATTTTACCAATCAGATCGTCAAGGACCGAAGACTCGAGAGCGAATGTGTCGTCACTGATAACTGGCTTCTCTGCGAGTACCACCGCATGAGCAGCTTCTGGGTTCGCGGACAAAAGACGCCAATACACGTAGCCACGGTCACGTAGATCCGGGTTGTCGGACTCTTCTGTGGCCTTGTGCAACACCTTCTGGACCATTTCTTGAGTCTCGTTCGGACGCTTCAGGAACAGCTTGACAGTAGCCGTCAACAGCTGCAGCTGCACTTGAGCCGTCTCGTCGTCAAAGGAATCCATGAACGACTCGAGTAACTCGTCGGCGTTGTCGATACGCTCCGCGTACTCTCCGATGATCCAGATCATGGACGCTTTGGCTTCTGGCTCGTCCAATGTATCCAAGTTCTCACATAGTGTAGCGATGATACTTTCGTACTGGTTCGGATACTTCCGGAAGATATCCTTGATGACAATGATGGCTTCCTGCACGATGTAGTTGACCTTGGTCTGGATCAGTTCCAGCAGCACATTGATGCACTTCTCAGCTGCACGTTCGAGCTTGACCGCACAGCGCCCAATCGCACGCACCGAGCGACGTACGAACTCGACATCCACCTCTGTAGCGTACTCCTTGAACTCGAGCAACACCTGCTCGATGTTCCGTTCCGATACGAGGCGGATAATGATCTCCAGCTTCTCCATCTTGACGTAGATGGGGTCATTGTACTTGCAGAAGAACACCTTGATCTCATTGGCTAAAATACCCGGACGCTTCTGCACGATCAAGTTAATGTTGCGCAACGCCACATACTGGATCTCAGGCTCAGCAGACAGTAGAGTCACTAGCGGAGGCGCCATCTTACGGGACAGACTGCGCTCCGTATCAGCGTCCGAGACTTTCTCCACGAACTTCATGATGACCTTCACAGCGGACAGAACAACCGCCGAATTGGCGTGTTGGAGACGAGGTGTGACGCGTTCAATGATCCCCTCGGCCTCTCTGGAGTCTGCAGGAGTGTACGAGGCCAACGCATCAAGCACGAAGACCTGTCCCCACTCGTTGCACTCATTTAGAGCCGCTAGAAGCTTCTGTAGCACCGATTTAGTGATCTTGAAGGCCATAGCGCCGCCACTGTTCTCCGAGATCTCGGATAGAGCGGCGATCGCGTTGGCTACAACCGTCGGGTTCGAGTCTGAGATCAAGTCCCGTAGCATGTCGAGGAATCCTTGCTCCTCTACCATATCCGGGTTGATATCGTAGAGTTTCGAGACGCAGATAGCTGCAGTTTTACGGACATACGGATCCTCGTCCTGAAGACAGCGACGTAGCGGCTCGCAGAGGTACTCGGTGATACGATCCACGCGGATACAGCCCATAGTACGCACGGAGAGCGCGCGGATGAGCGGGTTCGGGTCGGCAGCGTCTTTAACAAAGGTATTGACGGCCAGGATGGTTAAATCCGGGTTACTCTTGGCGTAATTGATGAGGTACAGGTACACGAGCTTCTTGAGCTGCGTGTCCGCTGTCTGGATGCAGTTGACCACGTCTGTGAAGAGCATGGATACATCTTTGCCCACGGTCATATTGGCAATAACCTTTTTCACAGCGTCTTTCTTCTTCTCGCGACTGGGATTGGCCAATTCTTGGCGCAATTCATGCGTCTCGCCCTTCTTGGTCGTGCTGAAGAACTTGGAGTCGTTCGCGGCGCCAGTCATGCGCTTGGCGATCGCAGCCATCGTGGGCATCGCCATAGTTGCAGCAGCTGTTACCGGTACGGGGAAAGTAGGGCTCTACGTTGGGGCTTGACGAGGCGCGATGCCAGATCTGAAACGGACGCGTGGTGGAACAATGTGATTGGAGGAAAATTAAAAGCGGTTAAATTCGAGTGATACACGTAATGTAGCTATGCAAAGATGGCTACATTGAAGTTACTCGTCGTCCTGGTCATCTTTATCGTGCAGTTCTATCGCAATGTTGTTCTGTGGTAGAGATAGATATTCTCTGCGTGTGCGTTCTGTCATGTTGTTGCCAGTAAGGCACAACCACTCCAGCGTCAGAGTGATTAATCGCTTGGGGGCGTGAAGTTTTGCTGCAAGTACTGCTAAAGGCTCCTCAGTCATGTTGTTGTATGCCAGATTAAGCTCGCGCAACGTCCGATTGGTTTCCAAAGCACGAGTGCAGGCCACGAGACCTTCATTACCGATACGATTATGTGCCAGATCCAGTCGTCGCAGCGTATTATTCGCCGAAAGACACGCAAAGAATCGTGGTGCCTTCGCCGCATCCAGACCCGAATACGACAAATCCAGAGCCACCAACGTCTTGTTAAACTTGAGCAGCTCTCCGAATCTAGCAACAGCGTCCGCATTGATACGGTTAGCACCGATATGAAGTATACGCAGTGACCTGTTAGAGTTCGTAAGCACTTCTGCGATGCGTTGAGCCTGTTCGGAACCGATCCCAAGACCTGCGTCCAATGCATCGTCCGAGTCTGTACCGCCAATATTAAGGTGTTCAAGACGCTTGTTTCTCTCCAACATTGACGCAAACGCTGTAGCACCACGAGAGCCCATAGTATGGTGTTCAATATCAAGTAGCACCAAGCTCTTGCTAACCTCAAGTGCACCTGCCAGAGCCTCAGCACCCGCAGGAGACACTGTATTCCAACGCAAGTGAAGTTCACGGAGAGTAGCAGTACAACGTAAGCCTTCAGCTATAGCTACAACGCCTCGTACACGCAGATCGTTGCCTCGTAGGTCCAATCTCTCGATGGATTTGTTACGTATCAGTGCGTCTCGAAAGCCTACGACCCCATCGTCACCCAACTGTGTCCAGCTCAAGTTGAGGTATGTGAGGGCACTACTTGATGCCAAGCACTCCGCCAATGCTTGACCTCCGATAGGTCCCAGTGGATTGTTCTCCAGCTCGATAGTATGCAGCGTACTGTGGTTACGCACGCCGTCAGCCAATGCACGAGCTGCTGCACTGTCGATCATACAGCTATTCAACGTTACTCGACCGAGATGAAGGTGATGCAGCATCTTCTTGCCGAGAAATCCTGCCTCATAAAGCTCCAATTGACGGCCACATAAGTTCACAGTGACTAAATCTCGATGGTCCTTATGGGTTGTATCCATGTTGACAAGTGTCTTAACCGAACGCGAGACATCAGGAAGACGCAACTCGTTAAGTTCTTGAGTGAAACGATTCACAGCAAAGCACTTGGCAAGAATCCAACGATCCAGGAAATGCTTCGAGTCGACCGAAAACTCGAATTTTTCTGGTATTTCTCCGTATTTCCTATTGCCACGTACTTGCTGGACATTGATAACTGTTTCGTGCATCTTGATGGTTAACAAGGTGCTGTTGAGAGCCACAAGTTCTCCTATACTCTCCCCTGCTTCAGGGAATAATCCTGTATCAGACAGGTTAATCTCGCGTAATGTTATGCAACCCTTGATAGCAGTTAGTAACTCCAGCACTGCAACTCGTCCTAGTCCTGGATTATCGTGCATATCCAGTGATAACAACATGTTGTTCTGAGGTACTACTCCTGCAATAACCAGACCGTCCAGTTCCACCAATTCTCGATTAACGAGCGTTATCCAACGTGATGTTTTCACCTTAGCAATCGGAAGAACAGCTCGAACGCCACTTAACCGAGCTAACGCAAAGCTGTCGTTAAGGTGCCGCAACGCTACGACTATCCTTTTCGCTGAATCAAAGTCGAGATTCAAGAGATACTGCGTACCGTCTTGAGCCACATCACGTCCATAGACACAGAGTTCTCGAAGAGCAAAGTTGTCTCGCAATGCAGACAACAGACCAAGTACAGCTTGCGGTCCCATCTGGTTCCAAGAAAAGTCACAGCGTGTAAGCGTCTCGTTCTCTCGCAGTGCTCGACCGAGTTCGTCAGCCCCCTGAGCGCTAAGTCGGTTGTCACGGAGATTTAGATCAAGTAACATCGAGTCCCGAACTGTCTTCTAGAGCCTCTGCGAAGTCACGAGCTCCACTAGGACCGATCCGGTTCCCCACTAGACTGAGATGAGTTAGAGAAGAATTCACTCGCAGAGCTGCAGCCAGAGCACTTATGGCTGTATCATCGATCCCAGCGTACTCTAATCGGAGCGATAACAGCGTTTGATTCACTCGAAGAGCTCGAAAGACAGCGATCGCGCCGTAAGAACCGATTTTGTTCTTGTCCGGACCTTGTAGCACCTTGCTGGTCTTCGATGGATCTCCACGGTCTTTAGACTTGGATACACGCTTAGTTTTTTGCTTGATCTTTAGTTTTACTCTGAGTTTCACTCGTGTTGCGGCCCATTTTTGCTTTGAGTTCACTTGTTTTCGATGTCTGAGTCTTGAGGCTATCCTCGTAAATCTCAGTCTTTTGGTTCGACGAGATCTTCTTCGCTTCGTCTTCTCTTTGACTGGAGGCGGCTGCCCTTGTTGCACTACCAACGACGTGGTGCTGGAGTTGAAAGCCAGCCCCGCATGTGCGAGCACTGCAATTTGTGTCGCTGTGATAGACGAACGTGGTCGCTTTTGTTGCAGTTGTTGATCATCCAAAACTAGACATCGAGAGGAGATATTTCGACGCAGACATAAAGTCGTGTACGTCAGTGCTAGACCAAGTTTCCAGCAATCAGACCATCCAAACGCTGGAATGTCGTCAGGAACGACGTAACTTCTCTCAAGCTGGCGACTTTGCTCCAGTATCGACAAGGGTCCGGATTTCTCCGTGGAATCGTCGATTAGAAGCACGTGGTCGTGGATCAGACTGTTGTCTTCGATGTCTGGTGCAAAGCTCACTCGTTTTGTCTGTCTAGTTTTCTCTGTCGTAGTGTCACTATTTACTATCGCTGTGGGGTTGCAGTAGGCTAGTGGAGGTGCAAACTTAAAAATGCAAGCCTGCAAGTCTGGAACGCAGTTCCCGACTTGAATCCACGCTTCTTTCCGAGGAGTGGCTGCACTATCCTCGCTCTTGTTGTTGTCGAGTTCTTCTGACTCATTGCCGGTTAGACTTTCCTTTTGATCGCTTCTAACCAGCTCTGTACGATGCAGCAGCTCAACAATTGACGCCTCATGGTTCACATTATTTGACTGCGACGAAGACTCGTTGACAGTGTCTCCCTCTAGAGCACCCAATGTATCCATCAGCGGAAGTCTATTCTGCTGCATCCATTTTTCAAATTTAAAGTGACTCTTCAGTAGAACACTGGACATACAAATTCATCGACGGCTAACTGCAATTATTCGACCTCCTTAAATGTTGCTGATCACAATTGCAGTCCCTCTATTGTGACATTGGGTACGCACGCTTGATATGGATCTCCTCACGAGGTCTAAACCACAAAAAAAGCAGCAAAATATCAGCCCAACATCTTCATAACATCTCACATCTCCCATATCCTGTTACCTGTCATTAGCACCCGTCGGCACCATTCCCATGCGCTGAATCACCTTCATCCCGGACGAGATCCGACCAAACACAGTGTGCTTACCTATTTTAGCAGCCAATAGATCAGCCCTTTTACCAAATACCAACAATATCTCAGCTTCTCCTTACCATCCAGCCACGGTGTCGGCGCCAAAGTAATGAAGAATTGGCTGCCGTTGGTGTTGGGGCCCGAGTTCGCCTGCACCAAAGCACACAGCGTCGGTTAATAACCTTAAATTTACGAGAATCTTTTTTCAAATCTCTTGATATTTTACCATTGACAGCACGCCAGCCCCCGTGTGCTTGAGCTCCTTGTTGATCTCGTCGTCAAATTTTGCTCTGCCATCCAATTACTTCACGTTAAGAAAAATGTAGCCATGTATATCATTGGCTTCTGGTACCCGTAGATGGATTCTCCTCCTCTCCCCGTGCCCGTGGGGTCTCCACCCTGGATCATAAAGTCCTTGATGATGCGGTGGAAGATGGTGTTGTTGTAGTAGCCGCGACGTGCAAGCTCCGCGATGTTCCAGCACGTCCGCGGCGCGTGCTCGGTGTACAGCTCCATAGTGAACTCACCCTGGCAAAGATTCAGCAGCTAGTTAGCATACAGTTTCGCTAAATATAACACGGTACACCAGATGCAGTCATAATACACACCACTGTCGTCTCGAACACGACGTGCGTCGGCGGCTTGGACGTCGCTGGTGTTGCCATCTTCGACACGAAATATAATTATTGGAGACAAAATGTTAAAATTATTGTTTCTTTTAATTTCAAGGTATTCAAATAATCATTTGTTTTTTACAAGTTGTGGTCCAAAATGGATCGTGAAAATACTCCGCGGAAGCAGCGCCAGAAGGTGAGCTCTCCTTCCTTCCCGGCCCAATTCTCCTCCTCCTAACGTATAGTCCAGCGTAGTACTGGCAGTCGTCGTACTAGCACCAGCTCCGCAGCTCATGGTGCCCCATCCCGAGCCAGTGTGAGCTCCGTTCCAGGCCCCGCACGTGGGTTCCGGCCGCGTAGTCGCACCGCGGCGTCTCCCCCGGCTGCTATAATGTCCAAGACGCCATCCATGCTGCTACGTCCATCTGCAGGTGGGTCACCAGGGTCCACAGGCGTCCTCTACGAGCCAGATGCTACTAGTCGCAGTAGACACAGCGTCTCCGACCGAGACAGCCACTTGCAGGTGAGCACCCGACCCACTAAGTCCTCACCAAGCCACCGGAGAGCGGGCTCTCCAGGAGCAATACGCCCACAGACCCCGTCTACACTCCAGCAGATCGACGTCGTCCCTCCTTCTACCAGTGTGAAGCTTATCACTCCCCAGCTGCAATTTGCCACGGACTTGTCGGTAAAATTGGGAAATTGTCTGGAACTCACAAATTTCACAGTAGTGGGGGTGATGGGTTTTGAAAATGTGGGGAAATCCACAATATTGTCACTTTTAGCCCAGACGAAAATTGGAGATAAGGAGCTTTTCTCGACTCGAAGCTTGGATGCTCTCGTGATGGATCGACATGAGACGACGGGGGTGGATCTCGCCATCTCGATGGTAGCAGGAGCAGGCCACCCAACCGTGTTGCTGGACTCGCAGCCATTGCTCAGCAGCTCGATGCTGGCGGATTTATTGGAGCGGAATGAGTCGCAGCGCTTCAATGCGCTCACACCGGAGCAGCAGATAGAGGCAGCTTCGTACCAGATTGCGGTCTTTTTGTGCTCGATTTGTCATTACGTGGTGGTGGTTCACGATGGGTTGGCGTATCAGGCTTCGGTTACTGACCTTTTACGAAAGATAGAGCAGAAGTTGGCTCAATGTCGACTACCCAGTGTGTCAGGCAACAGCCAGAGACATACGGCACAACTCCTGTACGTGGCAAACAATGTGGCAGATTCCGAGCTATTGTACCGCGAAAACGAGCTGCTGTCAGCTCATACATGTGCACTCGAGGCTGTGTGGCCACACGCACTAGTTCGTGTCCCTTATAACATGTCGACATTCAGTGACGTAGTTGACGATAAGGATGTCCTCAATGTGGCGTCGTTCGTACTTCCACATCGGCAACAAGTGACTCGTGGGAACGCAAAGAGGAAGGAGCAGATTAAGAAAACAGCGTCGATCTCCAGTAAATATTCGGAGCTCGATGAGGCAGCAGAAGATTTTCAGCTTTTTGTCCGAAGTTTACCGAGCTCGCCCACGTTTTCGTCAAATACGGTGTCGAAGTTAGCGATGACGCCTGGATCAAAATCTCTGTCACCTCCACACGCACTATCTCTACGTGAATGGCTCAGCAACGCCTCCCGCGTGTTTGAAGCTGTGCGCAAGGCGAGCTGTTTCACCGCCGAATACACCTCGTCGCGTGATCAGCACTAAGCCAATCGAGCCACCGATCAGTACACATTGTTTAATGCTGAAAATCTCGATTTCAAGGACGGACTTTGTCGCAACTCGCGTCGATCCAGTGGGGACTTGGTCTTGGAAATGGCTCCACTTTACCAGACTCCTTTGCTACGAACTGGTCACATCAGTTTTTCCGGACGGTGTTGAAAAAGTGGCGTGGATTCACTGCGACGTCGTGAAATCATGGATTCATTGTTGACGCTTATCGATAAGGCCGAATTTACCACAAGAGGTGTGACGCCGATGTTTTACGCAAGTACTGTACATGTGTATCGTGTTTTTTTGTGGGCGACAGGATCAACCGCTACTAGCCTCCGCAACACTGGTAAGCGTCGTGAAATATTCTTAATAGGTGGTGCGGTGCAACCTCTACTTTGCTGGGGGTCTAAAAAAACAAGTCGCTACAAGAAATTAGGTGTCAAGAGGAGTCTCTCGGTGTGCTGACAACTGATCAAGTGGCCTTCTCTTACTCCTTTGCGGCCCCAGAGGTCGCTACAGGTTATGAGCCCTGGCCTCTTCGCATCTAGTGACACCGAGCAACCAGCCCCAAGACGGCCACGACACAATTCTTGCGCGGTGTCGTAGTCTCAGTTGATTACACCGTCTTCCGCTGAACTTTGACGGTGTTCTGCTTCCACGGCACCGTGTTTGGACTGGGCGAGGGGCTTTTGGTGGCATAATCGTGAGAGTGAGTAAACACAGCCAGCACTGTGATGTGATCTTCGCTCGAGTAAACACAGCCTACCAGCACTGCCTTCGCGTGAGGCTCACTTCTGAATTTACTTCTTCTAATATCCCAAGTTTCAATCATCCAGGAGAGATGCGTTCGGCTATGTGTCAATTCGTCATTCTACTGCTGCTTGTTGCTGTCGCCTTTACCAGCGCGGTGCTCTTCGTACAGTCAGCGATGCAGAGAAGAGCAAGTCTTCGAAGATGGCTGACCTCTCCTCACTCCACGTTCAGCACAAGAGGGAAAATCTTCGACCCCTGAGGGTCACCACAAAATCACACCGCAGGATCTTGAGCTTGATGACACTACTGAGCGTAGCCTTGACATCAACAACCCTTTCGGAAAAATAATCGGGAAACTGTTCTACTACAATAGATGGTTCAAGAAAGGAAAAACACTAGAAGAAATGAGAGCTAAGCTGCGCGTCTTTAAAGTGCGCCGACACAGGAATCTCTATGACGGCTACGTTGACTATTGGTTCAAGATGACAAAACGTCAAACGCAATAGCGCGTTTCTAACGCTGTTGGCAACACCTACTGAATAATTGTGAGTCACGGTGTTTCCACGGTGCCAAGAAGGTAAGCTCCTTATTGATCATCAATACTCTGAATTTAAAAATGAAGCCGTGTGGTGTCGTGCTAACTGGTTGAAAATGTTAGCTTCGTTTTCGCTCACTTTTATCCCTTCCACTGGCGAAGCGCTGTAATTGTATTATTTACTTAGCATAGACTGTCTCGCTTGCATTTACAAAGAGTATTTTGAAGTATTGTACTGGCAAGGTAAAATGATGCACACAACTTTTGAGCACGACTTGTCCAAATCCAATTTTATTGAAGCTCTGTGTTTCCTCTTTAAAGAACCGTTTAGCCCTCTTTAGAGCCTTGCCCGAATAGAAAATCGATCAATTTTTTTAAAGTGCAATCAGTGCCTGCGTCAAGCCGATTTATTTATAAATCGGTGCAGAGGCATTTTTAAGAGTTAAAAAGAGTTATTCTGTATCGGGCTGAATGCCCGACGCTTTGTCGGCATGCCGATGGAGAAAGATGGTATTCACGTCTGAAGTTCCTGTGCGGCCCAAGCCAGCAGAGTGTCAAGTGCTATTACTGTAATGTAAAACCAACGTCTCTGTCTGTCGGTGACGTTTTTTATGTTGCCTCCCAGTTTCCCAAGTTTTTGGTAAAATATTTTAGGGATTTTGTTTTGACATGTGCATCGTTTAAACGTGTTTTAGCATTGACCACAGCTTAATATATTAAATTAGTGCCATGACGACTCCAATGTAATATCATTGGTAGACGCACGCCTTCATCGCTCTGTACGCAAGCTCACACCTTTTGGGCATGATTTTCTCCCTAGTGACCTCTCCAGTGTTCCTCGTTTTGTAACGTCATAGTTTTATAAACGCTAGCGCGAAGTGCATGACTACAAAGTCAATTGAAGTGGTGAAGTATGCAACCAAAAAACGTTATCCATGATAGATACATTTATGGTCCATACAGCTTGTCTTTTGGGAATTTTGGAGCCCTAGTGCTGATGTGCTAGACATACAGTAGGTACTTCTGCCATGCATTACCGGCGGTAGAGCCGAGCTATTCAGCTCCAAGGCCATGATGCCCGTAATTCCTCACGTATTGAAAGCAGGCCATCAGCACTCTTACAGCGATGATCAACGTTTGGGAAATAAAATCTTTTATTATACTGCGCTCGATAAAAGAGATTGTAATAGCCAGGTTTCAAAAATAAATAATTCCGAGCAAAAAAAATTATTATTGCAATAAATACTTTGCTAAGTCGTTTTTTGCAAGTCTGTTATTAACAAATCTAGCTTTATTTATCTTTTCAAAAGTTGCAATAATACAGTAGCAATTCCAATACACCTTGAAGCAATAACCAGCTATTCTGTAAATATAATACCCATAATAAAGTAGTAAACTATCAAACTGCTGAGAGCGAGAAAATACCTCGACATACGCAAAAGAAATAAAACCTCTTGAATATAAATAGAGCACAAGTGCGATTAAAATAATGCTATTCAACTTTAAAGCTGTTATAAAACTGCATCAAGCGTATATTAACGTTCATAAAGCGTCATACCATGAACAGTAAATCAAATACAAAAGATTTTTTAAAGCTTGACGGTATATAAAAAAACTCGGGCAAAGTCTGTAAAGTCTTAAAGTCTCCGCTACATGGATTAAAAGCCAATTGAGTAGTGGTGTATGGGCAGATTGTATTCGACATAGGCATATCGAAGCTTGTCGTTCCACAATACCGGGATGATGTATTTGTACTACCTCTGGTCCGAAATGATGGATAGTTTCATTTAGATGTAAGTAAAAACAATTCCAGCAATTGGTGTCAAAATCCAATTGGTCCAACAGAAGCGCGTAATCACCAGCTATTGGCTGGTGGTTTGATTGGCGCGGAAAGCCTACTGGGGGCCGAGCTACAAGTATTTGAATAGCCGGCCACCCTCTTCCTCATTTGCCAAGTACCCGCTCAGCTAACGCTACGCCCTATCAGTGCTCCCTGACTTCTATGACCAACCTGACCGATTGTCAACGCCGTTGCATCATCGACAAGCTCCTAAAACTCAGTATTAAAAGAGATCTTCCTCATGGAGCAAAGGCGGCCGTCGCAAGAGCCTTTAAGTGCAGTCCGTCCACTATCGGCAAAATCTGGACCCACTATTGCATCAGCGTCACCGCAGGGGTAGAAGGAGGAGTTTGGCATAGCCGCATCGTACGCTCGCTTGTGGCTGAGGGCAAGCTGGTGAGGAAGACGGCGCGCATCCGGCCAACATTGACACAAAAAACATGCTAGATAGGGTGGAGCATGTGCTCACCTTTATCAACGACGGCACGCTTGAGTTCGAGCTGCTGGACGACATGGTCCACGTAGATGAAAAATGGGTCTATGAGGACAAGGATAAGCAAAGCTGTTTACTGTTTCCAGGAGAAAACCCGCCACATCGCACCCGAAAAAGCAAGAGGTTTATTCCGAAGACCATGTTCCTGGCAGCCGTAGCCCGACCGAGGTAAAACCCGTTATGTTTTATATATTACACAATCACATTAGCCTTTAAACATTATGTAAATAGATATAACCCGAATCGTAAGTGCCGTTGGAACGGAAAGCTGGGACTGTGGCCACTGACGGAGGAGTACATCGCCCAGAGAAGCAGCTGTAACCGCCCCAAAGGAACTGTGTGCACACGCAATATTGAAGTGGTGAATCGAGCTAATTACAAGAACTTTCCTATTTGATTGGTTATTCCTGCTATCAAGAAGCATTGGCCTTGTGGAGACCGACGGCGCCCTATCCTCATCCAACAAGATAACGCTAAGCCCCATGTGTCTCCCCTAGACCCTGACATTGTTGCTGCGGGGTGTGAAGGTAGGTGATGCATCCGTCTGCTGTGCCAGCCTGCCACCTCACCGGGCCTTAATGTGTTGGACCTTGGTCTCTTCAATGCAATCCAAAGCATCCAAAACCGCATGCCCATCCATGGAATCGACAATCTCATCAGGCTGTTCAAGATGCGTACGAAGACATGAGTGCCGACACACTGAACAGCATATTTCTGACTTTGCAGAGCTGTATGATATGCGTGCTTCAACAACAGGGTGGGAATCAATAATTTGCCACACCTAGGAAAAGACAAGCTGCGGAGGAGAGGGCTTCTTTACCAAGTACTAGAATGCGAAAGAAGCTTGTACGACAGAGCCAAGACAATGCTTAGTGAGGCTGGCCGTCCAAGTCTCATCTTCTTTGAGTCTAAGAATAAGTTATACCTGTTAAAAGATGATCTGATCGATTTAGCATAACAAAACTAGTTGCTTTGAGCCTATTATTTTTCATATGCCATCTTGTAGCATACTATCCATCATTTCAGAGGTAGTAATATGCTGATTTGAGACTTCAGCGAGACTTTTTGACTTTGGCATTGCGTGCTTGCCCTGAGTTGAATTATTTTTCTTTCTCTTATTTTTTCCTTGGATTACCGACAGTGGTAGCGGCTCATTGGCATGCCTGCGCATATCACGTCGGAGAGGCATTGCTTCGGCGCTTGAGTTCCGCTACGAGGTACTCTAAGCCTCATGTTCTGCAGCCTCCCCACTTTCCAAATCGGCAGTTGCTTTTAGTACTTCGGAGCAGAAATGTGCTTCTTGACACTCTTCTCGTCGCGGGCAATTGCCAACTCTGCGTGACACCACAGCATGCGTATGTCCGGCGTTGCAT